GGTTTAACGGGGGATGGCATCTTGGAGCCATCATGTGAGAGATTTAGGAGATGGTTGAGGACCTCTGATGCCCGTCCACCAGAAGGTGCAGCGTGCCAAACATCAAAGGTACGACTTCTATCTAGACCAGAGACCCTATGCCCATATATATATATATATATATATATATATATATATATATATATATATATATATATATATATATTATACTGGATGTCAGAGTGAACAGTTAGTCATCAAATGTACCGCTTTAAGAAATTTTATTATACAGTGGAACTTCGGTTCACGAATTTAATTCGTTCCTGAAAGCCGTTCGTAAACCGAAATGTTCGTAAACCATAACTATTTATTCCAATATTATTTATTTTACATTGATTCCAATAGGAATCAATGTAGAGAAAAAAGTCACAGTACAATAAAATTTGGTAAAGAAAATCATGGCACAATACACGAATGTATGGCGGTCGACACAAATTATTCCTTTGGGTTAACTCGGTTTAGCAATGTTGTTCGAGAACCGAAAATTTTTTTCGATAACCTAGGCATTTTCATTTCCAAAACTGACTTGTTCGATATGTGAGACATTCGAGATCCGAGGTTGCTCTGTATATATATTTAAATGACGATAATCAAAATTAATAAATAATTAAATAAAAATGAACAAAATAAAAAAAGTGAACAGTTAGTGTAAAACTAGCACAGATATATTCATAAAATGTAATAAAATAAATTTAAAAAACAGATCAATTTTGTTTATCAGTAAGTTTCACATTTCTAGCATGTACCGATGGAAAAAAAAACCAGCTCTTATACTCCTACCTGGTTTTTGCGGGCAGGAGAAGATGCTTATCCCTTTTTTTCCTGTTTAGGAATGAGTTTCTGGTTCTTTCTCATTCTCTTTCACTCGTAGTAGGAACCATTTTAGTGGCATTATCACCTTGCTTGGTGTGAATTTATTAAAAAAAAAATAATGACTAAACGACCCTGAAACGTTTGTAACGTGTAATGTATTTCTAGAGTGGGTGGGAGGTTTTTTGTTTATTGATCAGTTTTTGTTTTCTTTGAAATTGGCGGTAAAGTCGTTATCTTTTCTTGCGTAACTGAAAATAATGGTTGACCTCAAAAACCTGTCCAAACATTTTAGTTAAAAATAAAAGATTGAAAAAAATAGACAAAAAAAAAAAAAAGAAATGCCGAGACGAAGATACGTATATTCTCATGTATTTCCAAGGCATCCCCTTTGTCAGAAAATTGACTAGTGTAATAGAGTATTTCGGGGATACAGTGGCATGTTGTATCACAAGAGAAAAGAAGGAAAGAGAGGGTGAAAAAATAGGTCTGAAGAATCTAAGTAGAGATGGTAGGTTCTTGGTAAAAAAAAAAGCAATCGTTAAAATCGATAAATAATACAACGTGGCAAACTGCCAACTCAGAGAGACGCGGTTTATGTATGTTGGAGTTTGACGTTGTCAGTTGCTTTGATATTATTAACTATTTTGGTAATATTAGTCGCCACCTTTTTTTCTTAATAAATCAGTTTTACTTTTTTTTTCCCTCGTTATCGTCCATTCTTTTCTATTTGCTTTCATGTTATTTAATTCTATTCTTCATTGTTCGTTTCGTCCTCTTCCTTCTTCCATTCTTCAGTCTGTATTCGTCTTGTTTTTGTCAGTCTTTTCTGTCTTATCTTTCCAATTTCCATATTGCTTGTTTTTCACAACATTCTTACTATACGTGCGCTGGGTAATATCTGTGTGTAAAATGTTACACAAAATAAATATACATATCTTACTAATAATATATAATTGTCCATATGTTAGATTAAGTTCGGCATCGTTGTAGCTTAGAAATGATTAAATATATTTTACTGGAATTCTCCGAGGTTTTTAACACTGTTAGACTCTACTTTGAGCAATAAGAATGTATAATTACTCTCCAAGCTTAACAGAAGAATCGTGATGAAATCGATCATAAACGAAAATGACATGTTCATCATTAATTAATCATAGCTAAGGATCGGAAGCTCGTGAAGAATTGAACTTCTCACGTGCAAAACATCCTATGAATTGAGTTGGATCTTTTCTAATTGATCTCTTTAGCTCTAAGTTGAAATGATGATCCCTCTTCCTGTTGTGACCTTCTGATCTAGTTTTCCTCTCTACTGTTGCCTCATTATTAAACTTATTCGCCGTTCTCTTGATGGTTCTTGAATGAACTTTGAAGATGGAAGCCCGACTATGAATGTTGGTACCATTACTGAAGGCCTGAATGATCTTTTCCTCTCACCATTGCTCAGTTGGGAAGACAGTGGCTCTGACACAAAACAATTTTAAACCAGTTCTCTTTTTAGCTAAATAACTCAAAGGGTTTTTCAGTGATTATTACGAAAAATAGAGCCAAGATGCTTAAACATCTTATCTGAAAACCTGGAAAAAAGAAAGGTTTTATAGACATTAAACATTTTGTGTGGTGCTGTTACACGATTTAAACAACAATTTTGCTGTTACACTCAATATATATATATATATATATATATATATATATATATATATATATATATATAAATTCCCAAGAGGATAGAATCCAGGTAGAACTCGATGTCCAGAACAGTGTAAGAATATAATATAAGAAAATATATTATTTATCTGTATCTCACTCATTTAAACCGTTATTTAACTCCTCTCTTTAAAACTTCTCTCTGTTAAACTTTAATCCCCACCTTCACCTTTAGGCCTTCCTGTTCTTTCTTCTGTTACACCATCTCTCTATGGCTTTCATACATTTCCCTCTCACACTTGTTTCCCACTCCCACACATACACTCTAACTAAAATTTTTTTTTTTTTGAATTTGTAGGTCTGATGAAGTGGATCGTGATTACGATTCCAATGTAATAAATTATAACCATGGAATATTAGTGTTTGAGCCTTTTATATTTTATATATATATATATATATATATATATATATATATAGATAGATAGATAGATAGATAGATAGATAAATAGATAGATAGATAGATAGATAGATATAATTTTACTATTCCAGACGTTATTTTCATTGGATACGCGTGTTTGAAATAGACGCCCAGTTTTTTGTTTTGTTTTTTTTTTAACTGTGTATATTACCGTATTGGCCGGCACACTTAAGAAAGCGTGTTCTCCGGCAAAGTTCGAACCTGAAACTTATTTTCTCTAAAGGAATTTTTTCTAGGAATGAAACGCGTCACTCCAGTTTTGTTTTATTCCTTCCATATTTTGCTATATATTATGCTAAGTACATATGTTTTATCTTTATTGGTAATGGTAATATTAGCTGTTTCTTTATAAGGAAATATTTAACATTCATTGACCGACCAGCCAGTACTACTCATTACGCTTTTCTACACTCTCTGGCCTTCGGACTGGGATCAAAGTGTAGTATCTGTTCTACTCATATCTAATAGTGATGGTAATATTAACTGTTTCCTTATAAGGAAACATTTGGGATTCATTAACTGATCAACCAGTAATAACTTTCAATTGAAATTTATAAAATCTTTCTTTTAAAACACTTTTTCAGGGAAATATTTTTGTCAAATTTTCTGATATCGCTTTTTCCAGTATTGATTGGCGGGGGACTTCCTTCCTAAACTTTTGTTTGAAGTATTATGGAAAATCAACATTTCATGATGATGTCATTATTTTCTCTTCAAGTTCATTTTAGTTGTCCTCAATTGATGTGGTTTCTGTTATTTGGCACAGTTCTTTGTTTGCGTTTCTCTAGCGCCAGTGCACAAA